GTGGTAATCTATCAGAGATCTTATATAGCCGAGGTACATTGTTTTAACAATTCTAATATTAGCACCATAATGTGGGCTGTACCCCGCTACACTTCTATGAGGTTTCAGTCTGTCAGTACATTGGCGGGTTAGCTGTTGTATGGCAGGTAAGGTACAAGGGACGTTGACACCAAGATATTTCAAAGAAGAAACATAGTCAATAATGTTGTTAAGAAGGGCGTCCTGGGGGGCATGGCGGTGTAGCTAAGATAAATAAATTATTGACGGCATTAATCATTAATAACGGATATCCTTGTGTAATATGTGTTGAACAACACTCGACAATGAAGGTCGTAACAGAGAACAGACCAACCGCCCCAGCACAAAAAACTATTGCTGACAAGTGGTGATAATGATAAACATGAGGGGCGGCTGGTCATGTGAAATGATTTTGTCAAAAGGGACCTGTCTGTTTCAAGAATGGGACATGCATCATATCGACCTAATACTGCCAGTGTGACGTCACTCGTACAATATTTTATTAATGAATCATCTATCAGTATTTCACTACTGTATTATAATACACAAGTTTGATATATAACAATATAATACTGAAAACTAATTATTCACTAAATAAAAGCAGGTCCTATTTCAAGGAGATCTGGTTGGCTTGAGAACAATGTTAGTAAATGCTTATTTGCTACTAAATTCCATCCATCAATCCTACACAAAATTTATGCCCAAATCTGTGTCTGACGAGGCGTCTATATCTAATCTCTGGTGGGGAGGGAGGGTCCGGAGGAGGTGGGAAGAGTAACTCAGTAGGGGAACTCGTCACTGACTTCTTTATCTCAGTTTTATTGGATGGTAGGCACCTCGTCTACCACGTGGTCGCCTGGGTATTGGCACAGTATTCAGTTACACTGACTCAGTCTGCTCGCCTGCTCACTGTCGGGAGGTTGCGCGCTCCAACATTTTGAACCATATCTGATACAACCTCGTAAATCGTAATATTCCGGATTTAAGTTCCTTGGCAGGTCATGTGTGGATAACTAAGTTCCAGAGGACTGTATATGGTTAAAGATCACATTTCAAGAATGATTTATTGCCTACGTTTTATTTGTCGCACCAGAAAATCTGTCATCTAGTTCAACATCTCCCTCTCTTGTACTCCGCCAGGATGTTGTCCAAGTGAGCATAATTCAACTGTCTGTCTACCCTACCCTTGTTGCTTGCTATAGTACGTTTATGACTATAGCATCATGGTGTACTCATACGCCTTACTCACGTTGACTTTATTTTATTTATTTATTTTTTCATTAAAGGATGTTCTGTTATTACTGCACACATCTCAGGAAAATAAAAGATTGAAAGTCAGGAAAAAATTGCACTGGTGCGATTTTGAAGCAATGAACTATACAAAGATTGCGGAACAAGGCCCCTCAACCAGAACATTTGGGTCATGCTGTTAAGTTCTTACTCGTACTGTATAAAGGGTATTATAGCCTACTGTTCTTAATCGTACTGTATAGGGGGCATTTTGCTGTACCAAATAAACAACATAGAGGACACAACCAAACAACATACTGGACAACCAAACAACATATTGTACACAACCAAACAACATACTGAACACAAACAAACATAATGGACACAACCAAACAACGTACTGTACACAACTAAACAACATACTCTACACAACCAAACAACATAGTAGGTAGTAGGCAGGTACTACCGCCTGGGAAGATATTGGAAGCATAATGTGTTGTCTAATGGTAGACCCTGCTGCTATATGGCATCACACAAATTGTGACCAAGTTCCAGGTTTCTGATCTGACTTTCTGCCTCATTTACACACAGTTGCAGATCTCAATTGTTTCTCTTACTTGACAACATAACATACATATAGTATAGCATTTCTTACTGTTTTTTTTTTATTTTTTTATTTACCGTTCTTTATTACATTATTATTATTATTATTGTTGTTATCATTATTATTGTATTTTACTTTTTATTATAAATTTTATTTACTATGAATAATTATTACATTTTCGCCCCGATGTGGGTCAGTGACCTGTGCCCGAGTGGACTAATCCCCGTAAAAAAATGGACACAACCAAACAACATAATAGACAACCAAACAACATACTGTACACAACCAAACAACATACTGGACAACCACACAGCATACTGTACACAACCAAACAACATACTGAACACAAACATACATAATGGACACAACCAAACAACATACTGGACAACCACACAGCATACTGTACACAACCAAACAACATACTGGACAACCAAACAACATACTGTACACAACCAAACAACATACTGGACAACCAAACAACATACTGTACACAACCAAACAACATACTGGACAACCAAACAACATACTGTACACAACCAAGCATAATGGACACAACCAAACAACATACTGAACATAACCAAACAACATACTGGACACAACCAAACAACATACTGGACACAACCAAACAACATACTGAACACAAACAAACAACATACTGAACACAACCAAACAATATACTGGACACAACCAAACAACATACTGAACATAACCAAACAACATACTGGACACAACCAAACAACATACTGAACAACATAAACAAACAACATACTGAACACAACCAAACAATATACTGGACACAACCAAACAACATACTGACACAACCAAACAACATACTGGACACAACCAAACAACATACTGGACACAACCAAACAACATACTGGACACAACCAAACAACATACTGGACACAACCAAACAACATACTGGACACAACCAAACAACATACTGGACACAACCAAACAACATACTGAACACAAACAAACAACATACTGAACACAACCAAACAATATACTGGACACAACCAAACAACATACTGAACATAACCAAACAACATACTGGACACAACCAAACAACATACTGAACACAAACAAACAACATACTGAACACAACCAAACAACATACTGGACACAACCAAACAACATACTGAACACAACCAAACAACATACTGGACACAACCAAACAACATACTGGACACAACCAAACAACATACTGGACACAACCAAACAACATACTGGACACAACCAAACAACATACTGGACACAACCAAACAACATATTGGACACAACCAAACAACATACTGGACACCTCACCCTAAGTAAATGAGGAGTACATATCCACAGGCTACATTGTCAGGACTCTTCCCAAAACCAGTTTAAATACAATATCCAGCTCTCTCAGAATCTTCAGTATCCATGTTGCAACACAAACTCACACACAACTCATCTACCTACCATATGCTCAACATTTGCAACACAAACACACACAACTCATCTACCTAACATATGTTCAACATTTGCAACACAAACTCACACACAACTCATCTACCTACCATATGCTCAACATTTGCAACACAAACTCACACACAACTCATCTACCTAATATATGCTCAACATTTGCAACACAAACTCACACACAACTCATCTACCTACCATATGCTCAACATTTGCAGTACAAACTCGCACACAACTCATCTACCTACCATATGCTCAACATTTGCAGTACAAACTCGCACACAACTCATCTACCTACCATATGCTCAACATTTGCAATACAAACTCACACTCAATTCATCTACATACCAGATGTTCAACATTTGCAACTCAAACACAACTCATCTACCTACCATATGCTCAACATTTGCAACACAAACTCACTCACAACTCATCTACCTACCATATGCTCAACATTTGCAATACAGCCTCACACATAACTGACCTACGTACGATATGCTTAACATTTGCGATACAACCATATGCTCAATAACTGCAACACAGACTCACACACAACTCGCCTAATCTCACCATATACTCAACATTTGCAACATAGACCTTTAGCTTAATTTGCAGAAAAGATATCAAAGCCAACGGATGCCTTCACCAGAATATGAAGTTTCCTTGAAATGAGTTTATTTGGTGATAACTCCACGTTGAATTGTAATCTCTATTTGGTCAATTGTGTTAATTAGCAGAACTTTTCCTGCAACACTCCAGTCACTTATATTTTCTGACTCTGGGATACAGTACATAATTTTTAAACCTATTAAAAAGGCTGTCCTAAAATTCATGGCAATAAAGCAATAAACATATTGAAGTTACCAATTGCTTCATTTATGGAAACCTCTGTGAGATTGTTGAGAAAATGCTGAAATTCTCAACCCTTGGGTTCACTCTCCTCAAATTACAGTTTTGTACCTACTGTCTAATATATTGTATTTATGTCTCCCACCATACTGAACCTCAGAGGGAGACATGGGGTAGAGGGTGCTTCCTAATTATAAGAAGGGGGTTATAGGGGTCCTCATCTGTACAGTAATGTTCGGTATTGTACTGTACAAGGGGGACAACACCCCCTTTGGTGGGCTTAGGGAGGCAAAGACCCTCTGAGGCTCCAGTGTTTGTGTTAATTTACAGACTGAAACATAACACTAGAGTACTGTGCATGCATTCAAAATGGTTATAACAAGGGCTACAGTAATAGGGGTTGGGGTTCCTGGACGTGGGCAGGATGGAGTTCATGGAAATCCTCCCGGATTTTCCCTGATAACTGATAGAGACCCTGATAATTGATAAAGACATGATTTTTCATAAAATGTCTTGATTAGATATTACACACCATAAAAAGATTACTTTTCTGGTAAAATTTTTGCATGTAATGTACAGTACTGTACACCATTATACTCTTGAAATAACAGGATAAATTGTTAAAACTAAGTACAGTACAGTACATTGTACTGTAGTTATCAGTATTATTAAACCTGACTTAAAACTGTTTCTACATACAGGGTACTGTATAATATTTTGAAACTCGGTTATAGACACTTTTTTTTCTTAGTTTTAAGGAAAACCCATTCAGAAAATAAATGTTGCAATACCTATATTGAAAATTTAGTGTCATGTCTTCAGCTGATGATGATCATGTTAAACATTACAGAGCTGGTGTGGTGTACGGCTGCTTCCTGCTCTTAGGCTTGGGTACTCTCCTGCCATGGAACTTCTTCATTACTGCACAGACGGTAACTTGTACAGTACTGTACAGTGGAGTCTTCATTTACGCGGTCAATTGAACCTGTGGAGGTCCGCGTAAAACGAGAAACGCGTAAATGAAATAAAACATATGGGATTAATTGAAATAGAGACTGAGCTGACCCCCAAACTCCACTTTTTCCGACACAATACCTACGTTGTAGTAAAAATAACATCTTAATTTTGTGATGGTATGCACACACAATTAATATTTAAGAGAAATACAGTCGCTGGTTAATGTCCATTTAAATAATGGACTCAACTCCCCCCCCCATAGATGGCACAACAGTTGCCTTGGCAGGTGAATGCTGAATTGGCAGTCAGGGCTTTGGTGAAACCCACCTTGGTGTGTGTGCGTGTGGGGGATAACTGCTCTACTAGTCCCACTTACTTGAGGCTGAAGGTACATTTTGGGAGAGGAAAGGGTAAATATATATACCCCCTGTATATAATAATCTACATTATTAGATTAACCCTTGTTAACATTAGAGGACCTTGTCTAACAGCTCTACTATTACCTACCAGTATGGACTGTTGCCACACTACATATATTTAGGACTGTTGCAACACCATTTATGACTTTCTGCAAGTAGGCATATCTGCCAAGTAGCTGTCTGTCACTACAGATGGGCTTGTTTATTCCAAGATTTTACATGTTTTATTGCAAATATAAATTTTGCAGATACATTTATTTTTGTTGGCAGTACTGGGATTACAAGTTCCGGAACACATCAGCCACCAACGAGACAATGCCAGAGCCTACAGAATTACAAATATTATACACTCCCATGCAGGTGTGCTTCTCTCAGATACCCAATTTTTTTTTCCTGTTCATCAATGCTCTCTTCAGTCACAAGTAAGTTGCTGTGTTCACTGTTCTTTATTGGATGAGAATATTCCACGACAGGATATAGAGTTTCTTGTTTGTTAACAATGTTTTCTTATATGGCACTTTACTCTCACCTGGCCAGGATCCCACAGCGTCTGAGACTCCTTGTGTCTCTAACTCTGATGATCATATTCTTCTCCCTCACCACAATGCTCACCCAGATCAACACAGATGAGTGGCAAGTGGGCTTCTTTATATTAACTATCATCATCATCATTCTTATCAATGGTAGGTGGTTGATTTGTCATATATGTTTTTTTTATTATGGTGCAAGTCAGGATTGACAAAAAACAAGAAAACCAACACACACACACACACATATATATATATATATATATATATATATATATATATATATATATATATATATATATATAATGTGTGTGTTGGTTTCTTGTTTTTGTATATATATATATATATATATATATATATATATATATATATATATATATATATATATATATATATAATATATATATATATATATATATATATATATATATATATATATATATATATATATATATATATATATATATATATATATATATATATATATATATATATATATATATACAGTAGTACCCCACTTAACGCGGTCAATAAAACCCACAGGGTACCGTGTTAAGTGAAAACCGCGCTAAGTGAACAACAGAACATATGGGATTAATTCCAAAAGAAACTGGCCCGACCCCCAAACTCCACTTTTTCTGACACAATACCTATGTTCTAGTAAAAATAACATCTTAATTTTATGATGGTACATGCACACAATTAATACTTAAGAGAAATAGAGAAATACAGTCGCCAAGTTAATGTCCATTCAAATAATGGACTCGACTCCCTCCCCCTCTTCTCACACTACACTCACTGGCTCTTCCCTCTGAGAAATTTTGGGGGGAAACCACTAAATTTTAATAAATAATACCTCAAACTAAAGTTAGGATAATACAATTGACATTGCTGGATTCCTTGTAAGACCTGGAATATTTTGAATATAAATGTCATATATTTTGCAAAAAAGATAACATATTTACTCAGAATAAACATTATCTCTAAAATTTGTATGTCTAATGCAAAATCTATGATGTTTATATTCAAAATGATCACCAAATTGTAAGAATTCCAGCAATGTAAATTATATTCTGGCCGGGTAATTTGTATGAATTTTATGAGCTAAAACAGGCAGGGTGGCGGGTGGGGCGAATCTAAAAATAGCTCTCGAGCCGGACACTCTGCGCGTATATGTGGAAAAAACCCGCGTTAAGTGAAAGTTCAGCTCTGGCGAGGCACCGCGTATACGTGAAATCGGGCTAAGCGAAACCGTGTTAAGCGGGGTATTACTGTATATTTATTCAAATGGTAACGAATTTAAGCCCTAAAACCGATTCCTTGTACTACTGTATTGGCGGACTAATACTCCAGCAGCTGGTGAGCAAGCCAAAGCATGTCGAAACAATTTCGTAAGAATTGCGTTAACCGAAATGAAGATTCTTATGGAAGGTAATTCGTTAACCGAAATTTTGTTAACCGAGGCGTTCGTTAACCGAGGGACCACTGTACAGCATTTAGAATATGGTGTGTAGGGAACATTAGCTACTGTAAAGCCCATGTGACTGTGAGAATCGTATATTAACTAAGTAGACCAGACCAACACAGTACAGTACTTGTACTATATGTTTAGTCTGTATTAATCTTGTGGTTTCAGAGGTTTGTTGATACTATACATTCCAAATGAACTGTGTGTTGTCATTGTGAACTGAATAAGGAGACCAGAATGATATTTAAAAGTGGATAAAAAAAAAAACAGGTCTGTACTATACAGTACAGACCAGCCAGAGAGGGTCGGCCTTATTCAGATTTCCAGTTGAGTGAATTCTACTTTAGCAGGAGTTAATTGTATTACTGTTGGTATTGTGGGGTTTCGTGATGTTGAATCGCACATAGGATGGAGGTGAGAAGGGAAACTCAGCTATGGCGGTTTTCTTATATAAATATATTATATACAAAACAGTCTGGTGCTGGGAAGTTGCTGCGTGGTAGAGAAGTTAATGTGCAGGAGCTTATTTAGAGGAGGTGTTGTGTGTTGCAGAGCTCTAGGTAGAATGGACTTCACGGCGAGACTGGGAGCTTATATATTGTACACGTCCACCGAAGTAAGCGTCGCCGGTGTCGACCTCCCCTTAGTCTAGACGGCTAGGCTTGTCATAGAAGCTTCGCTGAGGGATCTGTTGATTAGCGACTAATGGCAGTGGCAGTTGTAGGGGAGAGTATCCACTACAATACTCCCCCTCCCCTCCGAGCGCTGCAGGAAATTTGTCGGCAGGGTTGTATTCCACATGTGAGACATAACGGGCGGGGGTGTGGACCACTCGGCCGCTACGGGTGACGACTCCATCTAGGGACACGAGATCTGTGGGAGAAGCAGAGGGAAAAGGAGGGTTGTGGATAAGAGAAAGTTGTACTGGCGAGGAATGTGGTGCTCCTCTCGCGGCAGGTGCAGGGGTGCCGGGTGGGGTATCTGGGTCATTAGGGCCAGCTGCAGGGTCCACATCAGGAGCAGGGTCCACGTCAGGAGCAGGAGGTACCCGAAGATGAAAAGAGGGTTTGCAGAAATGTTGTGGGCGAGGTGGTGCTGCAAGTGGCAATTGTGGGCAGACAGGCGAAGGAGGTGCGGGATGAATGTGTTCAGGGCGATGGGAAGGCTGGCGTGGAGCAGTAGCCTTGAATGCAAAAATTGCTTGTCGTAGTGTTTGCAGTAGGTCGTGACGGACAGCAAAAGTGAAGTGGTCAAGGTCAGAAGTAAGGCATGTGATATGCTGCTTGATAGTGTCGGAGGTTATGGAGTCTACCAATCCCCGTCGATGTCGCTTCCTCGTGTAGTTGCAGGGAGCCTCACAGTGTCTAGCGTTAGCACCAAAGCGTTGATGGTACCAAGAGAAGGGTAAATACACTGTGCTGGGGGCTGGCAGCGGGGTGTGAGGCAGGATGGGGATGTTGGGGTCGGTAGGACGCAATGTGTGGGGCAGGAACAGGAGCAGCAGCAGGCATGGAGGAGCACAGCTGCTCGAGGGTGTCCATTCTGCGGTGTGGAGATTGTAAGGTCCCTCAAGTCTTGTTTGTCTGGTGGAATACTACTTCTCTGAGGAGCGCTGATTTGGTTGACGAGACCGAAGCTAAGTGATGGTGTGGCCACCGAGTTGTTAGCGGCTGCATGGCGCACAGCAGTGTATTCGTGGAATACTCTGTCTGCAGTGGCTGCATAGGTCGCCGAGGTAGTAGAGTAGTCCAATGCTGAGAGGATGAGATGAACTTCTGCAGGGAGCTTCTGAGTGTGAAGCTGGCACAGGATAGTGTCAGGAAGCCCGTCTGTGTGGCGGGAGTTCAGTCTCCGCATCTCGTCCCAGAGGCGTGCAGGAGTTGAGTTGCTGAGGGAGAGGCCGGATAGGTCTTGCAGGAGACTGGTGTCAGGCCGCTGGTATCGCCTCTTGAGAGCATCTCGTAGAGCTGCGAATTTGTTGTCAGCTGGAGGGTTGGTGATGACTTCTGCAACTTGTGTGGCGACTTCTGTGGGCAGGGAACAGACCAGGGCGACGTACTTCTGTTTGTCTGTAGCTGTTGAGCCGATGAGAGCTGCCTCCATGTGGATTAGCCAGTCTTCAATGTTTTCTTCAATGTTGTGATTGAAGACTGGGAGAGTGATCCGTTTCTCGTCCATCCTGTGTGAGTGCGTTTCTCCGGGGGTCACCATTGTGGGGTTTCGTGATGTTCAATCGTACATAGGATGGAGGTGAGAAGGGAAACTCAGCTATGGTGCTGGGAAGTTGCTGCGTGGTAGAGGAGTTACTGTGTAGGAGCTTATTTAGAGGAGGTGTTGTGTGTTGCAGAGCTCTAGGTAGAATGGCCTTCACGGCGAGACCGGGAGCTTATATACACATCCACCAGAAGTGAGTGCCGCCGGTGTCGACCCCCCCTTTAGTCTAGACGGCTAGGCTTGTCAGAGAAACTTGACGCGAGTCTAGACGGTTAGGCTTGTCAGAGAAACTTCGTCGCGGGATCGGCTGATCAGCGACTAACGGCAGTGGCAGTTGTAGGGGAGAGTATCCACTACAGTATTAACACTTGATTACCAACAAATGAGAGTAAATGTACAAAAAAGAAGAAGTTTAAACACAAAGTCCATTGTGGTTCTTGCTGCAACAGATAGGGTTAAGCCCAGTGGCAAAAGAATCTTTTATTTTCAAGATACTGGGACAGCGTACTATACTACAGTATACTGTACTGTACAATACACTATTTTCTAGTAATCATATTTATATTTTGTTTACAGGTTCTGGTGCAATCTTCCAAGGAGGTTTATTTGGTGTAGCTGGAATGTTTCCAGAGAAGTACATGACTGCTGTAGTGTCTGGACAAGCTCTTGGAGGAGTGTTTGCCTCAGGTGCTCGTATTATCTCCCTCTCAGTAGGAGCAAAGGATGAAACTGCTGCTTTCATTTACTTTATGATTGCTGTGGGAGTAATGATTCTAACCTTAGCTGCCTACCTCTATATGTCAAAAACAGTGAGTAAATATTATGTGTTATACCTATAGTATTTTGAACATATATGTACTGTACTGTACTCACATTAATGTGGAATAAGCACACTTCATCTTTAAGTAATGTAAGGAATTGGAAGTCATTTGATACCTATGATATAAAATGTTTCGCTCATATATAGTTTATTATTTCCTACCAGTGGAACTGAGGACCACAGTATAGGATTTTTCTTTGTCCTTCCTCAGTTTTCTCACAGACTTGGTGCCAGTTTGGACAATAACCTAATAAAAATAACAATACTGGGTGTTCTGATTAAAACTTCCCGTTCGACATTGGCAGGAGATATGTTAGCTTGTGAATTAACCTGCAATTAATAACAGTACAGTACCGTATACATTTGTTGTTCCTTGTTATACCCACACTGTTCTAGATACAGTAAATATTGGAAATGGTCACAGTAAATGTTGAAAGTGAATACCATCCCAATATTTACTGTAAATACTGTAGAAGAAGGAACAACTCTATTGTTAATTATTGTAGGTGCACAGGGACTTTTCTAACACCCTGTACTGTACATAGTATAGCTGTCAGAGAGATACGGCATATAAGACGCACCCCCATTTTAGCCGGGAGTATTTAGGAAATAACCTATGCATGTATTTTCCTCTTGTAGCCAAAATTTTCTTAAAATATTATACGTATACAGTACCTGAGTACCAGAATATGTGAGGAATTAATAAAAATAATACCAATAAATAAGGTACAAAAAAATGCAGTATTACCAAGCCAGTAAAAAAAATGCCAAATGAAAGTTTAACACAGTAGCCATTTGCATATACGTACTGTAGTCCCTGGCTCACCATAGCAATGCAGACGCCACCTCCGCCGATTCCCAAGCAAAGCTCCCCCTAGAACCGATTAATGTATTGGCGGACTAAAACTAAAGCTGGTTGACCGGCCAGTGCAAGTGAAAACATGTTGAGGTCGGTTCGTAAGAAATTCGTTAACCGAATTTTTGTTCGTTAACCGAATTTAAGAATCTTATGGGAGGCAGTTCGTTAACCGAAATTTCGTTAACCGAGGCGTTCGTTAACCGAGGGACCACTATAGTGGTTTTTTTTGTGTCTAAATAAAAAACGTTGAATTAAGAACTCGCGAAATTTGAGAAGCTACTGTACGACATTTAACCCTTCAATATGTCTTCAAAGAGACCACGAAACAGTGAAAGTGGTGCTAACGTAAGCGCAAGTCATTATCTGTCCAGGAAAAGGGTGAATTTCCATGGTCTGGCACCGGTCAGGTCCCGAGGTTGCCGGACTAGAGAGGTACAACCTGTACTATACAGTATATTAATAATGTACAGTATGTGAGACTCAATAAATTATTTAAGATAATATTTTCTGCACATTCCAGGAGTTCTACAAACACTACAGTAATTGCCAAGCACCTGAAAAGGACAAGGATGAATCCCCAGCTACCAACAGGACATTAGGTGAACAAGCAAAGATCTTCAAGGAGATATGGCCTGTGGGAGTTTCTGTGTGTGGAGTTTTTGCAGTAACCCTTGGAGCTTTTCCTGCTCTCTGTGTTAAAATCATTTCAATGTCAGAAGATGAAATGTGGGCAAGTTAGTATTTTGATTTGGTCATTGTTTATGATATTTGTTGCAGCCAGAATTTTTTTTATTTTTTTTCAGTTTTCCATTGAAGAAGGAATCTTTTTGCAATTTTTTTTTTTATACTCGGAGTCATAATATTAAGTACAGTAGTACCCCGATTTACGCGGTCAATTGAACCCATGGGGTACCGCGTAAAGTGAACAACAGAACATATGGGATTAGTTCCAATAGAGACTGGCCCGACCCCCAAACTCCACTTTTTCAGACACAATACCTACGTTGTAGTAAAAATTACATCTTAATTTTATGATGGTATGCACACACAATTAATAATTAAGAGAAATATCAATAATATTAGTTTTTTTGACACTTACATTAGTAGAAAAGATGGCTGGGCACACAGGGATGGGGGGTTGGTTCCGAGGCAGAGGGCAGATTATTGGCCCTCACCTGTATCACTTGTATCAATTGTAACACTATCCGCCACATAGGCTTGCAGGGCCTCTTTGTCAAACCCCTCAAAGTCCATATAAGTCCATATCCTCACTATCACTGATTTGGGCTGGCTGTGGTGGGTGGCGGGTGAAGAACTCGGTAATGTTTTGATGACTGGTCAACCTTGTGCGCATCCTGCCCACGCCGCTTCCCGCGTATATGAGTAGATGCACCGCGTAAAGTGAAAGTCCGGTTCTGGCGAGGTACCGCGTAAATGCGAAATTGCGGAAAGTGAAACCGCGTAAAGCGGGGTATTACTGTAATTAAATTTTTATATACAGTATGTATTTATTTATGGGATACATAGCTTTGTGAGAGACCTGCATGGCAATACTTTCCCAAGAACCTCAAAGATAGTGTCTGGCAATAGGGAACATTGTTCAAGTGGACAATGTATTGATGTTGGTGAAGAACACACTGCAGTCTACCACTTGTTAGCTTCATATAAGTTGGGTGATGTCTATGCTTCCATACTCCAGCTCCCTGGACCTCCATGATATCTTCTGCCTTGTCCATAATGTGTCAACCCACTACAGAATTGTTCAGTGGGATTGTGTCCAACAATCAAACTTTTTCCATACCAATCGTATTATGTACGTACCACTGATGTAGTTTCTGGAATGATGAGCACTTCTGCGATGATGCAGTTTCATTTTCTGCACAGGAAGCAAAGCCCCTTAACTTGCTTTCATTGTTGATTGATTAGTGATGTGAAGAGCACCATTTTTCTCTTCTCTCAGCTGAAGAATGTGAGGTTTTTGTTTGTCCAGTCAGGATGGTTTGTTTTTTATACTCTTCCAACTTGCATGTTTTTATCGACTGGTGAGAAAATTTACATGCAGACAACACTGATGTTTTGTTACACCCTTTTGAAGAGTGTCAGTGAAGCTGGACCAAATGCAGGACTCATCCTTACTCTACTTCTTGCTCATAGCGATTTTGACGAGATGTTTGCTGAAAGAATACAAAAAGTAAAAAAAAAAAATTTTCATGGAAAAATGTGCTAAGAATATGAAAGAACTGGGGAAAAACTGGATGAGTTGACGGTCGGAATTTTTTTGTAAGATGACAGGTCAATGGGTAAAGAAAACGCTTAAATTCACTATGGTAATTGTTAACGCTCATAGGAGCGTTATTGGTTTGTTGCTGGAGAAATAAACCCTCAACGTTGACGCGTACCATATAATTCGGTCAAAACCTGTTAAAGAACATTTCTCATATAACAAATGCTGTTATCTCACCACACATATTATGAAATACAATCAATATACAGTACATAGCCTGTTAACATCTTAAATATAACTCGCATGTTATAACTATTGATACAGGAGACAATTGGTATAATATGATCAAATTGCAGTACACAAATATACTTATTAAAGTTATTTAGAGTTTCTTAGCAGATTCTAATACTTCACGATCACTCACGTTTTAGGGTCTAGTGGTCTGAACCAACGTGTTGTCTGTCCTGTAGAAATCAGTAGACTACCCTCGAAGGGCAATCTCAGCCCGGAGGCGAGGGCCATATGTTTTCGTATTGAAACACCTCAGCAGATTGGTCAGCAAATTCGTTGCAACACTACATCTCTTATCTCATACCCTCTCTCTCTCTCTCTCGCCTAGTTTATCTTATTATGGTTATCCCTCTCTTTCTAGCTTATCTTACTGTGGCGGTAACAGTAATGATGTTTTAAAATAAATTGGGCCAAAAAGTGTCAAAAATAAGATTTCAAGTTGCTAAAAAGTCACGTGGCTGCAAAAAGCTCTGTGATTGGTTGTGATGTCACTGGTTGAGGTGAGCTTCCCAGCAGGAGATGGCCAGCTGTAGTTGTCCAACCTTCCTGCCTAATAAGCTCTGTAAATAAATATTATTAGATAATTAATTGTGCTTTACTCTGCAACACAGTAATACTATTTTGAATATATAAATATTACTAAGCATATAAACTAATTCAATGGATATTAGCTGCCCATACAACAGATTTCATAGTATAAACATTCCAAACAATATTGGTATTATTTTGGTTTTGGTCATCTGGGGAACCTTAATATTCTAACTATGGGATTAGGTACTTTAAACAATAAGACACAATTATCTCTACAGGATTTCTGTTGCAAAACATTTTTCGATCACATAAGAAAATACAGATCAAATGTTAGGTTAAGTTAGGCTAGGGTATGATGAGTTATAAGGTTAGCTTAACATACATCGGTAAGGGGGGGTTGTAACTCAAAACTACCAATTTCCGATAGAAATGAAGGTTCTAAATCGTTTATAACACATCATAAATCACCAGAAAAAAACAAACCCAATATAGCCTATCTCGAATCTAAACATCAAAATACTTATGGTAGTTAAAATAAAATCTTACCCATTAATTACTATAAATGATGATATATCCCAGTGGTTCACAAGCAAATCATCAAAACAATAACAGCACTATGTTGTCATGTTAACTAGCACCAGGCATTCTCAAAACAAAGTCCAGACAATGTCATTACTTATAAATTTACTCGTATCTCAATCTAGTATTGACATACTCTGTAAATGCACTGAGAAAAAAGAGAAAGTCTACCAGGTAAGAGTACATGACAGCTGAACTGGTGTGAACATGGGAGTTTTTTATGTCCAAAAGAACATAAGAATGGAGGAAACTGCAGCGGGCCTATTGGCCCATTCTGGGCAGTCCCATTTACACTCAACCCCTATCGCTCATATATCCATCCAATCTACTTTGAAGCTGCTCTTCATGGCACATTTCTTCACTTACGAAATTTCCATGACTTAGACCATAAAAAAACACCCTTAAAACTTACTTGAAAGTGGCATTTTGGGTCTAAAGAGCAGTGGCGAACTGGCCCACCGGGATACCTGGAAATTTCCCGGTGGGCCCCAAAGTGATGGTCCATCACTTTGGAAATAACGGAAAAAAGAAAAAGAGATGAGGTTTATGAGATATTAACTCAATCCTCCCTAATGCTACCGAATGTGACATTACTAGGTCCGTACCAATGCGCCCGAATGCAACCTGAAGCTTTTGAGTGGGCCCTTTTATAAGTTTTTCCGGTAGAAATTTTTGACCCAGTCCGCCACTGCTGAAGAGCCCACCCTTTCTACTACTGTACCTCCGACTGCAGCGATGAGTTTGAAACTAGTGACGTCATGGCAAATGGCAACCTTGTTTCAAGAGAAATAAACTTATCTCGATTATTATAGCAGGACTTTAAACTCTTATTACAAATTATATATACTGTATCACTCTACAAACGTGGCAGAGTGTATTTCTTGAGTTTGCCCAGAACCATCAACTCGTCCATTGTAATGGTAAAATGATAAGTGATAATGTAAAATAAAAAAGCTGGAATTTCCATTTTCTTTTTGGTGGCATAAAAATAATATGCCTTCATAAGTGAATTAAGAAAGATACTTTTGAACACTCAAGGACTAAAGTTGTGGACAGCAGAACGGAACCTACACTCTGGCAATGAGAAAAATCATTAATTGAAACTATGATATGATGTAAATAATGAAACAATAATAAAAAATATAAAAAATAAAATAATATAAAATAAAATGCAGTAAAGTACCCCTATTACAGTCAAAAAAAATTATACATTGTCAGAGGTCATTAGGGTAGGTTCTGTGCAGCAGTCTATGACTTTATTCCAAGAGTGTACTACATAATAACAGGCAGGTAGCTCACACCAGAAGCTTCTTCACACTTTACCTTTGTGGTTTTTTAAGTTACACACACTTTAATAAGTAAAAGTTTGTAATCAAGGTGATCTGTACACTGTTGGCTTGGTGGAAAGAGAGAGAGAGAGAGAGAGAGAGAGAGGTGTTTTAGCTCACCATGTAAAAAACACTCTTGACTTCAGCTATAAAATGGAATTTCTTATCCTCTCCTTCTGCTCTTTTTGTCACATGAGAAAAGAAAAAAATCTTGCATTTGATGTAGTATTGAATATTTTATTGCCTTAAAAAAACTAATACAGTAGCATTACTGATTTTTGACAATCCAAGATGAGGTTGCACCAACTTGAAATCAATAGCAATTATCTTGTTCTTGCCTCACCAAACCTTATGATCACAAGTGAACTGGTGGTGCTCTTGATATAACCCGGCTATAAAGTGAAACAACATTGTAAACTTAAATTAACTAAAGGACTATGTACAGTATGGCCAAGAACATTTACCACAAACAAAAAATAAAGTTAAGTTCGATATTTTTTATCTCATATTTATTAAATTTCCAATTTTAAATTACTTTATTTATTTACAGGTGTGTATTTCCAGCCAGTTGTTACCTTCTTGTTGTTCAATGTAGGAGACTATTTGGGTCGCCAAGTTGCTGGATTCATAATGTGGGTGAGTGTTAGGATGTGTTGCGTTATTAATTTTGTCCACCACAACACTGAAGCTCAAACCTTTTTGTAATCTTCCTTCCTATTATTTGTCAGTCCATCCATATTTTCTTCTTTGTGATTGACATAAATATTGCTCTGTATACAGTAGGTTCTCAAATTTTGCGAGTTTTTAATTTGACATTCTTTATTTGGACACAAAAAAACCTCTACACAATTTCAAATTTTGACGGCGGAGACGTTCACAATCGTGTAAACAGCGTCATTTCTCTTATGTATAAAAGATTCATTATTGTTTATTACTGAATGTCTTTTTGATTGAATTAATGTTTATGTGTGCAAAATGAACAATACAATTCATTATTAATACGTAGAATATTAAAACACACGAGGAGACGAGACGGCATTGTTTTCGTTAATGTTTACAAAACCAGTGACTGATTGGTTCTACATATAAAACTGAAGAAAATAAGACCCTGGATGTAGCTATAGTAAAATTAATGTAAAAAAATTAATATGGTTGTTTTAAGCAATGTTATTTAATGTTAATAAATGGAACAATAAAAGTAGCTAACCATTAATGGTAAAGAAAAAAACGTGAGATTGCGTATGTAAGAGCGCACGTGTGAAAACATATCGTCATTATTCTACATTTAAGAATATGAAAGCAACACTTATTTACTGTTCATATATATTTTAATTAATGTTTCTGAATTTAAAACAAAAATTCTACCCACCAGTGGTGGTAAAGTTGAAAACATTAGGACAGCCAATGTTGTTGTGTGTGTTTTTACTCAGATGACAAAGTTGCCTTGTCATCAGGTTCAACTCTAGCTGAAGCTGTAGAACATAAGAACTTTTTCTGTGTTGTTTTTAGTTTTTATTTAACTTTATCTGTGTTATTTTCGTTGGTTTATTAGGATATTGCTTTATTACAGGTAGTAATTCGCCAAAAAAGTGGGGGAAATAAGGCAAAATTTAGCCAAACATCAAAAGTACCAAACTCAAATTAATTTTCTCCATAGGACGTTGTATTTAAATTTGGACGAATTGAATTTCGCGAGGTTTTTACAGTCTAAATAGGTGTCCAAACATGAGAGCCTACTGTATGAAAAAATGTCACAAGAAAAATGTCAGGGAAAAAGTCACAGGAAAAATAAGTACAATAAACCCTTGCCATTCACGAGGGTTAGGTTCTAAGAAATGTCACTAATTGGCAAAACCACGAATATCAACTTTTATACTACCTTAGTGCACTAATATATACCCATACTGTGTATGAGAAACAATGTCACCAATACTATACTGTACTTACATTTGTACTATATGTGGAAATTTGGAGCTTGACGAAGTGGTGCACTGTACATAGGGAGACACCTGGTTACTGAAGTTTAGGGGAATCATCCGGATCACTGTTGAAGAAGGGTGATGCAATGGTGGTTGGTGGAGAGCTATACGACCGGGAGGTGTCGTGTGGCCGGGACGTGGGTGGTGAGGTGGTGAGGTGGCTGGGAGGAGGAGGAGGAGGGTGGAGCGGCTGCGGTAGTAGCTGGTTCTTTCTGAGAAACATTGTGATTGGAAGTTGTTTCTTCTTTGCTTTGAGGTCTTTAAACATTTCCTGTTAGGGAAACAATACCTGGTTGATTCCTTGGACAATCTTAAGACTCCATTCCATGGATGGGTAGTGGTCAACAATGAAATCAGTTAGAATCTTCACCTGTCAAAATAGTTCACCAAAATTTTTTAAGTCCCAACCTTCTTGTTGCAATTCCATAATTTCTTGTTCATCTTCCTCAGCACTTTTTACCAACTCTTCCAAATCCTCTTCTGTCAGTTCATCTCCATGTCCATCAATCAGCTCTTCCACATCTTCAGCAGCCATGTCCACAAACCCCTCACCACCTAATTGATATGCAACACTCGCAATGTCATTCACATCCTTTACCATCGATGGAAATCCCTGGAAGTTATTCACACACTCAGGCCATAAGGTTTGCCAACAAGCATTCACTATCTCTGGTTTGAGTTCATTGAATTCTTCACTGATGTTGATAATGCAGTCCGCAATGCTGTCCTTCTTCCAACACTTGCTAACATCAAAGTCAGGGTCTGTGTCCATGGCACTACGGATATGACCAAAAGAGCGTCGGGTGTATTATACCATGAAAATGCGTACTACACCCTGATCGAGAGGTTGAATAAGAGCAGTGGTGTTAGGTGATAGGAACACAACCTCTACACCTGGATGGCTAAATTGCAAACTTTCTGGGTGGCCTGTTGCATTATCCATCAATAATAGCACCCTGAATTCCATCTTCTTGGAAGCAAGGTACTTTTCCACTTTTGGAACAAAGCATTTATGGAACCAATCCAGGAATCCTTGCACAGTTACCCATGCCTTTTTGTCTGAGTGCAAACAAACTGGCAAAATATTATTGTTTTTATCCTTTAAGGCCCTAGGGTTTGATGAGCAGTAAAGAAAGCCAGGTATGATCATGTGGCCAGCTGCACTACCACAGAAGATGAGCGTCACTCTGTCCTTGGCTGCCTTGAACCCAGAGGCATGCCTCTCCTGCTTGTTTATATATGTTCTACCAGGCATTTTTTCCAATATAGACCAGATTCATCAGCATTAAACCCTTGCTCTGGTCCATAGGTTTTCTTTTCTATTATTTTATTTAACTTGGCGGAAAATGCATCTGCGTCTGTGTGGTCAGCTGATGCGGTCTCCCCAGTCAGCTTCACATTATGAAGAGAGAATCTTTTCTTAAAATTCTTGAACCAACCTTTACTGGCACTAAAAATTGGTTCAGTAGCCACACTAGCCCCTTCACCATCTGTTGACTCGTAAAAATGAGCATAAAGGGCTTTTAGCTTTCTCAAGAATCACATTGATGCTGTCGATCGGAACATTTTTGCGGTGCTGGTCCTCAATCCAAATGTTCAGTGCTTTTTCTGTTTTTACTATGTTCTTGTCACGAACAACCTGCACTACTTTAGCACTTGCTTGAGCACTCGCTTGAACAGAATCACGAATTACTTGTTCATTCTTCTTTATATACCACACTGTGGATTCGCTCACACCAAACAACCAACCAACCCTCCTATAACTTGTCTAATAATTTAACTTTCTTTATCAGGGTCATCACTGACTTTTGCCTCTTACGTTTCACTCCACTAGCACTGACACTAGGCAGTCTTTTAGGGTCCCTTTTCATAAAGAAACACGAAAGTTTTGAGAGTACAACACGAGATGCTGGGTCACAGACACTGGGTGAGCACCAACAGAGGAAAATGAGATGCCGCGGGCACATGGGGTGACTCATTGCGCTGTGGGAAAAGGCTCACAAGCCAGCCACCATAGCCGCCATCTGCTTACCACGAATCGTTGAAATCACGAATCGCAAACCCGCAAATGGCAAGGGTTTACTGTATGTAAAGATAGTTTTTCATTTTTGAACATGTTTAAAAAATGTTACTTTTGGATAGTTTATTTTTTTAATGACAAAATAAAACATTCAAAACCAAACCAAACCTAAGCTAACTTGATAATGGTGTCTAAATATAAATGCGACTCTTTTCCTACCCAAAATTGTGACTTTTTTTTCCGTTCATTGACTTTCCAAACCATCCTCTTAACTAACAACTCTCAGGGGTAGAAATATTTGTGTAGTTCTGGTCAAGAATGGCTAGGGATGACCCCTCAATTACCCCTCACCTGTCCACAGCCCCTCAATTACCCCTCACCCATCCACAGCCCCTTAACCACCCTCACCCATCCACAGCCCCCAATCACCCTCACCCATCCACAGCCCCTCACCCATCCACCCCTCACCCATCCACAGCCCCTCAACCACCCCTCACCCATCCACAGCCCCTCAACCACCCCTCACCCATCCACAGTCCCTCAACCACCCCTCACCCATCCACAGCCCCTCAACCACTCATTTACCTATAGCTGGAGGCCCACTTAGCAATATAGTACGTGTTTTGTAGTGTATATTGTGTGTGTGCTTTAAAGTGTTTTTGATAAATAACTCGGCTTTCATCAGGTTCATTTTGGTTACATTGGTGGTGATAGCAGTCAACCGAAATAAGAACTACAAAATGTCCATGTCAAAATATGGGAATTAGTTACAGAAATATTTTTCACACTTGCAAAGTTGTTCGGGGTGATCTATAAATCATCATTTGTTTGTTTTTTACCAAGCTTGTTGCTTAAATGGCAATCTATCGTAACCAAGAACTGCATTGCTTCTTTTCTGAAATTAGCAAATTATGTATCCTATCTGTTATTTCTTATTTTCACTCTTGATACAGGCCATCAGCTGGACTCAATCCCATTAATTGCAGATGATTAATAATTATAAGATATATTCACAACATATCAGCATACTTAAAATATGAAATATAACACAGTACAGAGTTCATAAGAATTGGTAAGATTATCTTATTATTGTGTAGGAACAATTGTATGTGGTAAAATTTGTAAATGTCTTACAGTACGTATGTAGTTTTGTTAAGGTAATTTTAATCAAAGAGGTGAATAATTTATCAGTTAAGATCATTCTCTTTTCTGATATATAATTGATCCATTTTTTTTCTCAGCCTCGACGTGGATCAAAGATTCTGTATTTCCTGGTTTTACTGCGCATTGTATTCATTCCTCTGTTCCTGCTGTGCAACCACAACCCAAAGTCCCCCATCCCTTCATTATTTGCCCATGATGCCTGGTATGTGGTTTTCATGCTCCTGTTCTCCCTCTCCAATGGTTATTGCTCATCGCTCTGTATGATGTACGGCCCAAAGTAAGTAACTGTTGGCATTTTTGTCATGTTCATATCTAATGGTGTGATATACTGTATGAATATGTTACTTTGGTATTGTTTCTCAATAACATTTCAAATAATGAACAAAACCTTATTTGTACATGGTAAACACTTGTTGTTAACAACTGATGAATGTGTTGGTCCATTTTCTTTTAGTTATCTAATTTTTCTGGGCTTACACTGCAAAGAAAAAGAGCTTGACTACAGTTTTGTAAAATGGGAGTAATTTTGGGTACCACAAAATAATGAAAACAAATTACTGGATTGCAAAATATTGAGGGTCTTCTGTAATAAATATTTGAGAATATCCAAAGATTGTAGAGTGTAGTTAAGAGTGTTCTTATAGAGTGGGTTCTGTTTTTGGTTTACTTATTTTTTATGAACTTGTGTTTTATCTTCCTCTTTAGGATGGTGTCTGAGGACAAGGCTGAGGTGGCCAGCAGCATGATGGCTGCCATGCTGGGCTTAGGGCTACTGACTGGAGGTCTGTCATCATTTGCCTTTGCCCTCATAGGCTAGAAGATGCTAAACTGATGGATGAGGTAGACCAAAGCTTTACAGTCAAATCTTTGCTAGTTTTAAATAATCTGGTAAAGGAGTCGCTGTAGAGTTGATCTGCTGGAAAACAAATAATTTGATTGGACATCTTCACCAATGACAAAAAGTTACTGGATTATTTTGATGGCCAAAAAAGAAAATAATTAACAGTTAGTTCAAAAGTTTAATCTTGTTTAGTGTATTACATATTGCATTGAGTACAGTACAGTACAGTATAATGTTTAGTATAGAAATATATGGTGTATAATACTTCAATGAGAATTCTTTAAGGTTTTGGGGAAATCAAATCTCAAGCAGAATAATACAGTATTTTTTTCTGAAACTGTTCAGTGATGAACAGAGAAACTTAAATATTAATTTATGGACACATCAAGGTGTTCAATGTCATTTGTGTTCAACCATTATACGTACAGTATAGTGTACTGTACTATTACTTTCTTCTTGAAGAATGTTACTCACATGACAACACTTGAAGTTAACTTCTGATCATTCACACTTTTATGGTTTTAAGACTATGGTACTGTACTGTACTTTATGTATTGACTTATGACTGTGTCAAGTTACATCAGTCTACACAGGCAGATAAGATATACTGAACTGTATTAAGATATGGACAAGAAATCTTTGAGCTCATCAGTTTTCTTGTTAACAAAACTACAATCTATTTATATTTTTAAATAAACTACAATACTACATAAATTTGATAAAGCAGGGAATATCTTCAGTGAAAAAATGTTCTATGAGTCTATAGTAGAGTGGTCATAACCAATTTATTCTCACAAAGTTGAGAATGAAAGGTTTAGTAGTTATTTACAAATTATTCTATTTTTTATATATTCTGCACTATTTTATTTTTATTTTATTAAAAGTATTCTAATTATGTCCTTATTAAATAATAATACACTTTTTAACAAATTAGAATTATTTCTGAAAAGTTTCTTCATTTATATTGATGAATAGAAGTACAGGTATCTCTCATTTAATGATAATTTGCTTAGCAACACTTCAGTTTGGCAATATAAAATTTTTAACACCCTTTTTTGTTTAATGATTGTCAATTTTCATTTTAGCGAAGTTCAAGTCACTGGAAAAAATTTATCAGGAGGGAAGTCTGAAAACTGGAGATTGTGTGCTCAAATTACGCATCATTACAATACGTACTCTAATGTGGCTTAGAAATAAAGAAAATATAATATAAAACTATAAAATAAGAAAAATGAAGTGCATGGGTTTGTATGTGTGGGTAGTGAAAGTGTATTCAGGTATCCCTCGATATACGAATAGGAAAAGTACGGTTCGTTTCCCCAAGGACAAAAATACCTAAAAACACGAAATCGGTTCACAAACAAGAAAAAACAAAATAAGATTAAATAGTACACAACTACTGTAATTTACAAGTTAACACATTAAAAATATTAATAAAATACCATCTAGATGAAAATATGAGCTAAAACCATTAAAGAAAAGCTAAATCAAAGTTTAACACAGCCACTATTTGTATAAGCACTGGCTATGTCACGTGTGGCCGCGCTGCCGCTCTAAGCCTGGCCATAGCAACCCCACCCGGCTGGGGACGCTCCTCTTCCCGACCTTTATTAACATTCCCACATCCTTCTCTCGCACACACATATTCCCTTTAGGTTTTTGACCTTATGATACCCTGTAGTAGTTATTTTTTGTACCTTTTTAATTTTTTTTGCACATTATGTATGTAAGATTGTATGTGCATGTAACCGAGTGAATAAAAAGAAAGAAGTTAAATTTTATCTACGCAAAATCATGAGTTAAATAATATCCATAACATAACTCCCCCCAGCTCATCCTGATAACTTTTGCTGACACATGAAAAAATGCTTATTCTCATTATGGTTTTAATCTTATGATAATTATTTTTGGTGCACATTCTGTATGTAGGATTGTGTGTGCTTGTAAATGAATAACAAAAATTAAGAAAGTAATATTTATGTACCCAAAATTAGGAGTTGAAAAATAACCATAACTCCAACCTCAGCCTACAGTGCATTTTTTCTCAGCTGAGAAGAGATGCCCCACCCCCTCCTCAAGTGTTACAGCTGATTGACTGTGTTTAACAGTTAATTCATGTATAATACTTCTGATAAACTTCCTACTTGCTCATGTATGAAATAATGAACGTATGTGTCTTTATATAATTTAACCAAATATCTTTCTCGTCAGAAACGGTCATCCCAACGATTATGAATAAACTCATTTAGAAATACATCATTACTTGAGGATAAAATCGGACAGATATGCAACAGCCAATCAGCTGTAACTCTTGAGAAGTGGGCAGGGCATCTCTTCTCAGCTGGGAAAAAACACACTATAGTAGGGGTGTGCAATTTGTTTAAGCAGGGGAAGCTTCCGTAACACCAAAAAGACGTGGTAATTTAGGAAATTTGTGTACCGGTAAGTGGATTTTAGTATCTTGAATATTCGTATAACAAGGGATATCTGTATTAAGGCAGTGAGCTTTTCTGCAGCCAGCTGCACTCTCCCTTCTTCTCCCCCTATGTGATGTCATGCCATACAGGCAGCAGCTACACACGTATCTTTAATCAGCTTGATGACTGCTTGGTTGAACTGTGTTGTGTGTACACTATACCCTCGTTAATTCGACAAAAAAGGGGCTCTAGGTCACTTGAATTACCGAAAAATCAGAATTAACCGAGTTAAAAATATTTTCACATTCGACAATTTCTGAATTTTTGTGTTAAATTATTTGTTCGTTTTCTGTTAATTTTTTAACCTTATTTGGATTGTTCCAAAGATTCTTCCTCATTATTCCAACCAACAAACATACTCAGTAACCATGCCTTGGCTGCCACACAAGATATTCTATTTATAATTACTGTGCAAACATACCGTAAATATATTTTAAATGTATATAGTACAGTAATAAGAACATAAATAATACAGTAATAAATAAAAGTAACACACTGTGAGGGGAGCCGACAAGGTGAGGTGAGGAGACGAGAGGTGATGAGGCAAGAGGTGAGGTGATGAGGCAAGTGAGGTGAGGTGACAAGGCGAGGCACTTACACAGCACATGTATTATCAGCACTACTAAACCATTCTTTTATAACATTTTAATTTCTAATTTCTATTTTAAAAATACAGCTGTTCCTCGACTTACGACGGGGTTAGGGACCCAAATCCAGGTCGTAAGTCGAATTGGTCGTAAGTCGAAAATGCGAAGATAATGCATAGAAAATCTAAAATGGGCGTTTCTTTTTCTTCTCAGCACCACAAAACTCTCACTTTTAAGCATGCCAGCCATTTTAAAGGGAATTACAAACGAAAAAATTTTCAGTACACAGCGCAATCACTACGCCGGGACTCGAAAATACGTAATTTGAAAATTTTTGGGTACGAATGGGGCGGTTGTGTGTCCGGGTGGACGTAAGTCGAGTAGGTCGTAAGTCGAGGAGTAGCTGTATTTGAAAATTAATTTTTAATTACTTCTTTAATGTTAACAAAAATGTTTTTCTTCAATGACATTACACTAAAGTTAACACTAACATACAGTATATATATCCAGGGAGAACACTAGTGTCCAACACGCATGCCGCATGAATAGTAAACAACAGGGTGTTGTCAGACATACAGGCATCCACGATGCACAATAATAGTTTATTCACTGTTTTATCACAAATTGCATTAATTTTACTTACTCAAAATCTTGCAAAATCTTTCAGATATATATTTCCATCAACACAACATTATCCTACAAATCTACTAAAAACATCTGCTTTTAGGCGGTAAGCATCTCAACTGATGAGGTGACAACGCCGCATAACGTCGCGCCTACTCTGGTGACCTGCTCTCACATGATAGCATCCAAGACTATATAACACTAAGACAATTCCCAGATAGACAATATTTCCACTTGGACTATTCCTGGAAACATGATTCCCACATGGACAATTATAACTAAAAATCCTTCATACATCACAAATTCTATTAGAAATACTGAGTTTATTATAGGAATATATTATGAATTATATTATAATGAATGAATTATATGAATACAGTACAGTATACCGGTAACATAATTATATTAGGAATAACAAGATACAACATAAATTATATTAGGAATGTTTTATTATAAAGATTACTGATTGTTTCCTCCCACACCCCATATTTCCACCTTTTTAGCCTTGATATTGTTATGAAAGTGAATATTAAGCTTGTCAACCTAACTTACTGATATGACCTACAATATGTAATACAGGTTAGACCCTGCTAATTCGAGATCCGATAGTCCGGCAACTTCGTTGGTACGGGACGGTGTTTGAATATGGCTGTTGTTAGTTATGTCTGTCAGAGCTCACTTCCAGTGGCTGTTGCCACTATTTTACCTTTAAATACTTATAATTTACCCATAAATATGTCTCCTAAGAGACTAGCAACTAGTAGAAGTGGTTGTAATGCGGCAAAACGTAAGCATGTGACATTAGCTATTTTAGAAAAGGTGTCTACTGTATACTGAAGAAATTAGACAGTGGTACATTGGTCAGGGCTTTGTGTGCAGAATATGGTGTGGGTTCATTGACTGTGTACAGTTTGTCATAAAGAGGTCCAGTAAGCCTGGGCTAGATTTACGCTGATGTAAGTTGTTTTGGTACCAGTAATAGTACATTTTATGCATTATTTTGCCCTTTTTTTTAACCTCAGCTTCAATGGTTCAGAATTTTCGCTTATCCGGAACTGATCTAGTCCCAAGCTTCCCAAATTAGCGAGGTCCAACCTGTACCTTATTTTTTCATAAATAAGAATATAGGTACAGGTACTCCTCGACTTACGACCTACTCGACTTACGACCACCCGAACATACGACCCCCGCAGTCGTATAAAATAATTTTCAAATTACGTATTTTCGAGTCCAGACGTTAGTGATCGCCCTGTGTACTGACAAAATTTTCATTTGTAATTCCCTTTAAAATGGCTGGCAAGCGTAAAAGTGAGAGTTCTTGTGTTGCCGAGAAGAATAAAGAGACCCATTTTAGATTTTCTATGTAATATTTTCACATTTTCGACTTACGGCCAATACGACTTACGACCTGGTCGTCGGTCCCTAACCCCGTCATAAATCGAGGACTGCTGTATACCATGAAATATTTTAATACAAATAAAATTTTAATTATTATATTAATAACAATTAAAATAATATTCATTTGTTAATCAGAATATGTAATTCATATTTTATTTTTATAACTTATCTTAATATAATTCATAATTTATTCCTATAATTCATTCATTTTAATATATTTCATAATACGCTATACAGTAATATCTCCGTTAGCCTCAATCCCTCAAACTCGCAACTCTCCGATAGCCGGATTTTAATTTTTCTAGGAAAATCTTTCCCAAAGCCATAATTTTCCAGAAAACTCCGGCTTTGGGAACTATTTTCCGAGGGGTACATTTCCCAGAAAATTACAAGAAAATTTTCATACCCGGAAAATTCCAAGGATGGGGGAAGTTATTTTCCGGGTTTGAGAGATGAAAATGAGGTGCATTTTCTGGAAATCCAGAGAAAAATTTTTCATTAACCGGAAAATTCCGGGGATGAGGGATTTTTTTTCGGCTTTGAGAAAGTCGTCTCGTTACCCGGAAATCTCTCATACCCGGAGGTGCCCTGCACCAATTGTTCCAGCTAATGGAGATATCACTGTACCTATACTGTACTTCTATAATAATTATACAAATGGGATGGCAAAAACCGGACAGAAAAGACGAACGTCCAGGTTGGATGACGCCTGACCCAAGTCTGCTTAAGGAACCATGAGAGCACAGTTGAATCAATGAGACTGATATATCAAGCCCATCACCACATAACATTTCGGAACCACTCACTTATTTTGGATTCATTCCAAATTCAAATCATTTAATTAATTTTTTAAAAACATGAATTTTGCCAAAATATGAATTATAAGGATTTGAATTAATGAGGGTACAGTGTAGACTGTACAGTACCAGTAAATGTAAGGAATAAATAAAAATAATAATAAAAATAAAAGACAAATTACTGCATTGCCATTTGGTAATTGTTTCACTACACACGAGACAGCAACATGAGATCCCCCATGCTGCTCCCTCCCCTCTCTCCTGCTGTCTGTACTAACTCCCACACACTTAACAAATGTGTGTTCCCTTTATATTTTTTATCTTATAATTATTATTTTTGAATAGTCTGTATGAATGATTGTGTGTGCATGTAACAGAGTAAAAAAAAAAAAAAATAATTAAGAAAATTATGTATATCTACCCAAAATTATGAGCTGAACAATAACATCATTTACAGCTCAGCCTCACCTGCTCTGAGTGATGAGTTGGCTACACAACTACATGCCATCTTCATAGATATTATTCCTCGTTAGCCCTAGTTTAGCGATCATTTCACTTAACAATGGGTTTTTCAGGAGCTCACCCCTCATTGTTAAACGAGGGATGCCTGTACAGTACTAAACTCGCACAAACACACACACACAGTGCCCATCATCTTGATACACTATACCAGTACATAAGAAGCCACATGTACTAGTAAAGCTCTTGGGTCACATCCGTGTGCTAGTTTCCTGTGTGTCATCACTATTGGAGTTGCAGGTTTGTCTTACGAACTCGGTGGTTTGGTAACCATAAGGTCACTTTAATTTTTGCTTTAATTACTAATGTACGAGTAGTCCAATGTGCAGAGTAAACTTGTAGTAGGAAGATTATTTTTATTGTCCTAGGTCAGGGGTGTCAAACTCATTTGCCAAGGTGGGCCAGATTTAATATGAGTACACAGTATGCGGGCCAAGTAACATAATTATGAGCACTTCGCAATCACCTCTTAGGTGAGTAGTACAACAAAATAAGAAAGGTGGATTTAGTCTGCGCTCGTGCAAAACCCTTAAAAACAAACAAATCAAGTGTTTATTTATCTTGATCAATCTTATTGTTTGCTACTGCTGCTTCCTGATAATTGACTCCTCTTGGTATGGACCAGTTTGGCACTAATGACTGAGCTGTAGCAACCTTCAGTATTGAATTAAGGTGCGCATCAGTAAGTTGGGACCGAAGCCGAGACTTGTTCAAGTTCATCACAGAAGAGAGTTGTTCACAGACATATGTACGTACTTCCGAACATTGACATACCGGTAATCTTTGAGGCAAAACATTTGATCCTGGGATAATTTGGTCCAAAATATTGATAAAATGTGCCAACATCAACACTCGAAAACTTGTTCCTCAACACAGAATCACACTGGAACTCAATTAATTCTAACTGAAGATGTTCTGGTACCTCATTAACACCAACAGAGAATGGGTCCCGAAAAATGAAAAAAATCCTTCTCAAGTCTTTTAAAGTCAGCAAACCTTTCTTGTAACTCATTCATTAATTTGGAAATCTTGATGCAGTACTTTTTTGTGTTGATATCAGGGACTTCAAGGTCGGAAAGTGAGAAAGATTACTCTCTTATACTTGCCATTCAAAAAGCTGATGTTGATTGAGTATTTTGTTCTAGGAAACAGCAGACTATTTTATTCAGCTCAGGGATACACTCATTATTTAGTTCTAGCTCCTCAAGGTAAGGCTGGAGCAGCAAATGGGCCGCAGGCTGCATGCAAGAGTGTGTCGGGCCGCATGCGGCCCACGGGCCCCATGTTTGACACCCCTGTCCTAGATGATTGCAGTGTTGCATGTCTGACAGTACAGTTGGGTAATGCTTGTACTATATTGCACTGTACTGTACTTTTAGTGCTGTTAATTATTAACTCTCATCCATTGTTCAACATTGTAGAAATGAAATTTGTACTGCTATTGGTATATTGTGAACTGTATTTTAGTTCTTGCATAACTTACTGCTGTCCCTTGAAATGAAAGCATTAAGAAAGTTATGAGATGCTATTTATAAAATACAAAACAAATATAAAAAGTATATTTTAGTTGTGATATGTCATTTTTTTATGAATTTTTCTCATCTCTACAGGACAAAATATTTGATTGATAATTTGTTCTGGCCATTTGTAGATTATTTTGTTACATTTTCTTGGAGATGAATCCTCAAGTTCATTAAATGGCATGATAGCACAGTTGGAAGTGATTCACACAACCAGTCCAAGAGAGGGGGAATTCATTCTCACGATTAGGCTGTATACTAAGCTGCTCCCTTACTGTGTCAGTGCCCCAGGC